TGCTCCCTTCGCTGTCTGCTTCTTGGCTGCCACAATGTGAGCAGCTTCCCGTTGAAGCTGCTGAAACTTGAGCTACAATAAACTTCTATTCAAGAGCTGTGGAATGTTGGATATTGTGTCCCAGAACAGGGAGAGTAAGAGACAGCCCCAGGTAACCATCACAGCTCCCCCTCCAGATTCTACCACACTGCAGAGTTCAGCTGCAAAGTCCAAACTGACGGGACATTTAGTAGAAAGCAGAGGCAAGTTCACAAAAGGGTCATCTACCTCTGCTAAGACTGGATTATAGACTAGCAAAGCTCGACGTATCAGGGAAGTTTCATTTTAGAATGCCAGAGAAAAAGGACACTGAAAAAGATTTGTATTTGTGTAAATTAAAATGGATCTTATGAACACCACAAAGCAAGTGACTGCAATTTTAAAAAACCAAGCTAGTAGCAATAAAATTGAAAAGAGAAAAACATGCTGAGCAAGTGCAGTCTTAACAGAAAGCCCATTTTAGCAATTCTGTTGTGACAGAAACTGCCTTTGGCATGAGTTTCTCTACCTTTCAGAATACTGTGTTCACTCATTGATCAATGCAGACACGAGCACAGCTAAAGCCCACAGGTGACAACATCAGGGTGAAAGACTTGATCTTTCCTAGAAGCAGTATTTTAGGCAATTTTTCTACAAAATTTATTTAATTAAAATTTCAATACAGCTTACATATAATGATACCAATGTACATTTCTTCTACAACTACAGAAAACTTATTCAAAAGACAGGCTGTAAGAGACGTTATACAGGAAGGACAGCATCGTCAGGGACAGTCCTCCCAAACAAGATCACATCGCCTCATCCCTGAAGGAGTCTCACATGTGACATCAGGCTTCTCACCAACACACAGGCTCACGGTGGTCACCATTATTCAAGCTGCTTTCCCATTTGAGTCTTGAAAAACTGCTGGTGTTCTCTTTCTTACATCTGAGCTGCTTGTTTTTTACAGTCATTCTGAAGAATGAATTTAACTCTGTGGTATTTACAAAATTTTACAAACATCTTTTTTTAACAAGTATTTTTTGTAACACTTTTTAACCATCATCTTACCTTGATATTGAGTAAGACATTCAAAAGAACTGGAGGACTTGCAGAGATAGCAGGACATGAAGAGAATGGGTAACTCATGTTAACATTTCCCATTGCAAGGTATTGCGTAACAATAGTTTGTGAGCTTGTAAATAAACTAGACACTAATCTTACAGCAAAAGAATGAATTACATGTGGAATCATGGATAAGTCTCACCTTTCAACTTCCAATAATTTAACTAAGTAGAATTTCTCATTTCCATTTTTGACCTTGCTTTATGAGAAACAGCAAACAAAACATGCATGTTTCAAAATAAGTAGTTTTCATATCAATAAAACCAAAGTATTTTTGTTACAAAATCATGTCATATTCATACCTAGTTTCACCTAATACTGATAAGAGTACTACTAAAATAGAATCAATCCCACCTTTGAAAAACTGCATAAAAATAACACTTGCATTGCTGGAGTCAACATTTGTGACAGTGCTGAGGACACATGCTGACAGTAACAGATTCGCCATTATGAGGTATGTGATTTTTCAAAGGTTTATGTTCCCTGCAAGTTATTCCATACTCTGTAAGAGGGCAGCATTCAGGAGAATAAAAAGAACCAATTTGAGTCACTAATAATACTTAAGTCATGCAATATAAAGAGAATGAAAGAAACATTACTCATAAATGATGAAATGGATTAGTATTACGAAAAGCAGTTGTGTCTCTCCATCTTCTGTAACATGTTATATACACACAGAAGTGCCACCCATGAAAAGAACAGCAGACCATTGAAATAGAATGCCCCAGCTAACTTTATAAACAGTAAAAATATTTTACCTTGAAATGTGAAATATAACCCCTTTTTCACTAAATTTGGGTACAGCTCAAAATAAGTTAACCTGCTGTTCACTTCAATAATTACTTGGATAAGTGACCTTAAAGCACCAAGATTTTCTTTGGAGTATCAAGTGGGAAGTCACTGTGGATTTGTATCGATGTCATTTTCCTCATGGGGAAACATGATAGGAAAGAGCTGTATATGAGACAATAACCCTTCTCAAAGTGGGTAGGACCTGCACACTACACAGAAACACAATGATACAGCTACATAGAACAGGTAGTTGAAAGTCCTCAAATGATGTCAACCAGATTCACCTAAGACACTTGTTACCCAAAGAGTTAGGAAATCTCAAGTTCCAGAGGCTCATGTGTAAACTCAAGATTATCACATACACTAGAATGTTTGTCACTATAAAGATGATGGACTTGTACTCGTATGTACACTATAGAGAATCGTGATGGTCTATCCCACAGGCAGGGCTGCCTCCCACTCCCTACCCTTGCACACGAGCAGCTACTCTCACAGGACTCTGGGAGAGTTGGACATGTAAAATAATGACCAGTGACAACAGCCTCACTCACATACTGATTTTCCATGCCCATCAGAGAAATACACTCCACCTTGAAGGTATTGTCAGCCGCCATCTCTGACTTTGTTTCTGTGTAAACGGTGTTGAAACAGGGTCGGTCTCACTCTGTAGTTCAGGCCGGCCTTGGACTCACAGTGATCCTTGTGCCTCCACCTCCCGTGTACCACCAAGTACATGCCACAAACCTTCCTGAGGATCATGCTTCCTTATGAGGATGGTTGGAAATGGTGAGCCATTCTGGTCCACCATACTCTCAGAAGAGTAAAATCATACAGGCAGCACTGTATTACAGAGAAGACACTGCAGAAGATGATGCTGCCCAATGTGGGTAAACTGAGTGACCTAAGCCTATTGAAGCTAGGCTGGCTCAGGCTTGGCATTAAGTGTGACAGGCGTATGCTGTATTTTTAAGTCTTGACATTACAATGAGTTTATGAAAGCATAACCCTATCCTAGATTGAAAAGCATCTGTACTTTTAAGAGCTCACTACACTTTAAGAAATACTTTCCAGTTTAATTAGCAATCACAAAGGCCTAAAACAGGTAAGTAAAACTGGAACAGGCCTCACTGACAACACGATCAACTCTCATGAAAACATGTCACACATCCTTAAGACCAGACAATGCTCAGTTATATGAAGAAAAATACAAAGACAAAATCATAAGAAAGCCTACCTAAGTTTATCTACAGTGGACAGAGCACACACACGAGTCACGTGACTAACTAGTACTTCTCATAAATCAGTTTCTCCTTCACTTCATTATTACAGCCTTCAAGGTAAGAACTACAAAAATGACAGCACTGCATTCACATCCTATGTGTCCTAGTGGGAGATGCCTTATTGAACCGAATAGCAATCATTTCCTCTAAAACAAACAAATCCCAGCAAAAACAGAGACTACACTTACCGATAAACCACAGAAGCAGTTACAGTGTATGGATAGGTTTATTACACTAGGACTTTACACCGTAAGCAACAAGGGGTGTAACACTGGTGTGCTCTGGCAAAACATCAGTCATACCAGCATGCTGTACTTTTTGGTATGATGAGTGAAAAAAATTACAATCAATACACAAATTATAGGAATATAAACACAAAAAGTATGGTTTCCATGGGGGAAGAAACATTTACAGTTATATAAGTGGTGTTTTTCAACAGCAAATGAAAAATGTGATAAACTTACAATCTTGCGCTAATATTATAATGTGATATTCATAGCTATCTTTTCAGTAAATGAACATGACAACACTGTTATTCTATAGAATTTTGAAATCATAACCTTTCTAAAAAATATGTACAGAAACCTTGCTTGAAAGAAATATACACATCAAAAGCAAAAATATAAAAATCACTTACAAAAGAACTTATTCATAAAATACAAAATTAAGAGTACATGCACGCGTGGCATGTGCTGTCTCTCTCTTTTGCATATGCGCGCGCACACAGACACACACACGCACACATATACAGTTCAGAACCAGTGACATCAGGCCAGCAGGAAAAACCCAACAGTTCTTTCTGAATAGGCAATTAACCTATTCAGTGTTTATTTCTGAGAACAATTACTTTCAAAGAAAGGGCACAGTGGAGCATGTCTGTAATTTCAGCTACTTATAGAGGCTGTGATGGGGAGATTACCAGATTAGAGCCAGCCTGAGAAACAGCAAGATCCTGTCTTAAGAAATAATCTTAAAAATGTATAAATACACAGTCAGAGATCTACCTTAAGAATGAATTACTGACAATAATATATGTATAACTTTTCATACATGTCCTTCAGGTGATAGTGTTTGGAGCAGTGTACAGATTAATTTGCATCAACCTCATTATATTATTGTTATTTACAAAACTCCACTACATACGTGAGCATTCTTCACAGGACTTTAAAATTATTTTTTAAAACTGGCAAATTTCATGGGTTTTTCACACTCTCAGAATTTTGACCCAGGGTGCCTTTTTACATGGAGGCCATCTGAAGACTTCTCCTCATCTCAATGAGTAATCTCTCCCACATGCTGTAGCTTCATAAGAGTGTAGAACCAAAGAACTAGCCACATTCCTACACACTAAAAACTTAAGGTTCTCTCCATGTGCATTCCCAGTTTCCTAGAAAAGTCCTGTGTTGATGAGGCTTTCTCCCTTTTTGTATTTAGGATTACTCTCTTGGGCCAGTTCTTTCACATTTGTGAAGGGAACTGTACATATTGGAGGCCTTCCCACCTTACGTATGCAGGATCTCTTTCTAGTGTGACTCCTTTCATGTCTTCTGAGGGAACGGGAATCACAGTAGGATTTCCCACACTGCTTACATACATAGGGTTTCTCTCCAGTGTGAGTTCTTTCATGTATTTTAATATAACTGGAAGAACTAAAAGCTTTCCCACAATACTTGCATATATAAGGTTTCTCTCCAGTGTGAACTCTTTCATGCACTCGAAGATAATTGGACCAATGGAAGGCTTTTCCACATTGCCCACACACAAAGGGTTTCTCTCCAGTGTGAGTTATTTCATGTTTTCTGAGAGACCTGGGAATGTGGTAGGGTTTCCCACATTGCTTACATACGTAAGGTTTTTCTCCAGTGTGAGATTTTTCATGTATTCGAATGTAACTAGTAGAACTAAAAGTTTTCCCACATTGCTTACAAACATAACGTTTCTTTCCATTGTGAGCTTCTTCATGTCTTTGAAGAGACCTGGAACAACTGAAGGCCTTGTCACATAGCTTACATATGTAGGGTTTCTCTCCACTGTGAGTTCGTACATGTCTTCGAAAAGAACTAGAAAAAGCGAAAGTTTTCCCACATTGGTTACATTCATACTGTTTCTCTTTAGTGTGATTTCTTTCGTATATGAGAAATGACCTGGAACCGTCAAAGGCCTTACCAGGCACCTGAAACTTATAGGGTCTATCTCCAGTGTGAGCTATCATGGGTCTCTCCTTGTGTCCAAGACTTGTGAAGGTGTTCCTACATTGCTTACCTACGTAACTGTGACTCCTGAAGAGTGTCCCACATTGCTTATATTCATGCTGTTTCTCTCCACAGAGAATCTTTTCATGGTTTTGAAGAGAACTGAGACACCTAAAGTTATCACATGGTTCACTTTCATAGGGTTTCTCTCCAGCTGGAGTCCTTTCATACATGTGAAACCACTGGGGAAAACGGAAGGCGTTCCCATGTTCCTCAAATTTATCCAACATCTCTCCATATTCCTCATACACATATGGTTCCTGCTCAGTGTCCTCCCTGAGGGACAAATTTAGGAATGAAGGAACAATAAGGACATTTCCACAAACATGACTTTCACCTAGTTTTACTCCAGGAAAAGTTTTCATGTTCACAATAGGATCTGGAAGCGGGCTGAAGATTTCCCCACATTGACTACTTTCTTTATATTCACAGAAACTCTCTACCACTTGACTTCTGTAAAAAATGAGAAGCACATTACTAAGGGTGTGTTTATTAATGATTTACCAGGGGAAATGTTGGTTTTATGTTGACATGAACTTTTGAAAATGAATGGAGTGCTTTGTAAGATGATCCATGGGCAGCTATGAGCAATACAAGGGTATTCATATAGGGCGGTGATGGGAACCTTTTAGAGGTTGCAGTAATACAAATAGCCTGCTGCTGACACCATCAGTTAGCCTGATGGCTAACACCATCGGTTCGCCAGCACTGACACAGGGTTTCTATACCATTTCCAAGTTAACTATTGTGCAAAGTCCAAATGCCTGTATTAGATTTACATGCACTTGAACATTCTTCATGTAAAAAGCTTGGGATACAAGGCATTTTCAATTAGCGATGTTTTGCATACATTGAATGGGATATACTCGAATGGGTCTAAGCACAAAGGGCACTTTGTTCATATACATCTTATACCCAAGCACTGAAGGTAATTTCAGACAATATTTTGAATAATTCTGAGCATGCGAACAATGTCTGTGAATACTAAACCACCAGAAAATATCACTTACAGCATCCTGGTAGTACTTGAGATATTTCCAATACTGGGATGCTTTGAGTCTTGGGAGTTTTCAATTATGGATAAAAACTTATATACATTTTTGGAGAAATATTTTTGAGATTACAAAAATTTGAATTGTGCTTCATTGGTATCATTTATTTAGTTGCTTTCAATATTCCCAGTCACTCCATGGTTACTGAAGGAATTTGGTTTCTCTAGTGAGTGCAAATTACCTTAGATTTCTCCTTGAATTTTCATATTCATCTTCAAAGTTTTGCTCCTTCCAGTCTTTTCCTAAAAGGTAGAGCCAGGAATATAATTATGTATATATGAGAATAATCATGAATATATAAGATCACAGAAAAGTATTGTAACTAGGTTGATGGTATAATGCCACTGTCATAGTGCATCCACCAAAATGTTCCCTTTTCATGTTCTGATTCATGGAACAGCACTGATAACAGCAAACGCTTATTTCTGAGTGACTAAGTAAAGGAGCAGTCCCCATACCTATAGCAGCCAGGTTCCAGAAGGTTTCCTGTATCACATCTCGGTAGAGCCTCTTTTGTGAAGGATCCAGCAAAGCCCACTCTTCCAGGGTGAAGTTCACAGCCACATCCTCAAAGGTCACAGACTCCTAAATCATCCCATATATTAAAGGAGAAAGGGTGAGACTCGCAACACTGGAGATGCAGACTGTCCTCATCACAAGTTCATATGGTGCCATGTTCTCCAAATACTCCACTCCTGTTTGTCACTTTTACTTTTTATCTACACATACATTCTCCTTCATAGATCAAAACAACTTTTAAAAAAAGCAAGACAGGCAGCCATGTAACTGTTGGGTCACTCCAATTTCCCTTTGTACACAGGGTCTATAGTACTCCCCAACAAAATTCTACTACTCATTATACCCAAGAGGGCTAACATAAGCAGTCCAGACTACTAAAATTAGAAACTGTTGAGAACAAAGTCTGATTTTGTTGATACTGTTGTTAAAAATCTGATCTCTGTGGCTATCTAGGCAATGCTATTGGGATGAACCTCACTGAACTGACTGTAAAGGGGTGTTTGAGGTTCTCAGTGTATGACAACAATATGCTAATTGCTTAACTCCCTTTGCCCTTGTGAATATTTGTAATTTTCTGATTAATTCATCACAGGGAGTCAACAGGTTCCCAAACTACACTATGGATGGTAACACTTTAATGGACAGTGGTAACAGATAAATCTGTCATTTCTTACCACTTTTGGCTACCAGGAAATCAAATGCGTCCTGTGACTGCACTAAGCTCCCTGTACCTATGTTTTTACAAAACAACCTTAAACACTGAGTAATTCATTATAGTAATGGGAAAGCCTCCGTTTTTACAGGAGAATGTCAAAGGACCAGGAGACAAGAGGAAGGATGGAACATGGTTAGGCAGTCAGTGCCACCAAGGTGTCACATCTCACAAAGATGTGATGTTACACCTTTCACTAGTGAATAAACACTTTAGCAAATCTAGTGGGTAAAATAAATGTTGAAAAATGTTTAAAACCCTGGGAAAAGTAACAGTTGTACTTCTCTATATATCTAACTATATTTATAACTACATATTATTATATATAAACTCTGACACTATACTCTTTGGGATACTGCATTCCTTGTGTTTCCCTTTACAGCACGGGGGCTTGAACTTGAGATTGTGTGCATGTGGGGCAAATGTTCTGCCACTGAGCTACATCTCCACCCCAGAACTGTATCCTATTAACAGAGAGGCTCATATGGATCACAGGAAAGGAAAAGTCTCCACTGACCTCACATGTAGACAGAAAACGGATTTGCAATAGCACAGACACTGTCCAACAAATAGTGCCATAAATCATAACCACACATGAGGCAGGGATAGATAGGAACTCACTCGGAACATGGTGTACCCTTCATTGCATGAGCATTAATCATTTAATACTGAAACAGGGAAGATAAAAATCTAAACATGATGAAAAGCCACCAGTAAATAAATTTTGAATAACCTGTAAGATTTAAATTCATGAAACTAAGGAGGTTAAAAAAAAAAAAGTTCAAGGATTAGAAGGTGGAACAGAACAAATAAAAACATGATTGAAAATTTATCAAAATAAACAAGATAAAACATCATATAGCAAACAATATCCAAGGTCTTCATAGAGGAAATACTCAAACACGTAAAAGAAAGTGTTCAGTACCACAGAAAGCAAGCAGTTATACCTGGAAGTCAAACTGATGGGGTCCCATGCCAAGTCCTGTACAGTGCTACAGTGTACACACCAGTCATTTTTCTTTAATGTCCAGAGAACACACTGTGCGTTTTTAACTGAGACACAAACACTATAATGGCACTGAAAAGTACCCTGAGAAAGCTGGTACCCAGGGCCACTGGAATAGAGGAAGACAAGTGCTGGCCCACCTCAGACAGAGGCAGGCAGCAACACACAGTCAGGGAAAAGACAACTCAGGGTTTATTTCTGCTCCCGTTCACACTCATTCACTGAGAGCTAGGGTGTGGCCAAAGGCCACTGCTAAGTAAAATATCATATGTGTTGAAGACAGAAAAAGTAGCCAAGGAATCAAGATGTGTTCTACTACAGGGCAGGATACAGATGACCCAGGCTGGGCACCAAGGCCCTGTTGTGAATCTTGATGAGGGTACTAAAAATTTTAACCAAAACCTTTATATTTACTCTTTTGAAAATGAACTTCATAAATAATTTAAAGGTTACATTGGGAAAGAACCTATTAATATCAGCACTGTATGTTGTCTCCTTGGAACTTGGCAGTGTGAATGGTAATTCAAAAATCTGGCAGTGATAAACAGAGCAGCACATGCCACAGCCAGAGATCCCCAGACACCCAGCAAGAGGGGGCAGCACACAGGTGGCCTTTGGGAGGAAGGGTGGGTCAGCAGGCTGGGGCAGGGAAGGCAGACGAGGGAGCTGACCAGCACCCACAGTCCTGCTCACAATGCTGACCTGGGCTGCTCCCTGCAGAAGTATGGATCTGCTGAGGGCAGTAAGATACTGATGCTGAGCATGGTAAGGAACAAAACCGAGAGCACACACACAGTACTGCTTATGTAGCCTGGGCTTGAGAGTGGGGTGGGCCTCCAGAGCAGGAACCAAACATATTCAGACAGACGGAGCGTAGTGAGAACTCACTCCCTCAGACAGAGGGAGAGGATGACCTCACTCTCCTTCCCGGCTGCTTCTGATGTGTATCAGAAAGGGAAAGGAACGCTGAGGGCAAAACACTGTCGCCAAACATCAAGAAATGGAGTCACACATTTCTGCTTTCCACACAGCATGGAAGGACACAGGCAAGGGCAGTGCTTCCCCCCAGAAGAAAGCTAAATAAATAGATCAATCAGTAAATAAAATTGTAATGCAAAAACACTTCTGAACTCAGACAAGGGCAAGACGCAATCCATTTTCAACAAATTGGAGAGACAAGAGGCAGACACAGAGCAGCACGGCTTACTGCAACAGAAACTTGCAAGCAGAGTAGGGGCAGGGAAACCTAAAATGTTCCTGATGAGCTGTTGAAGGCTGACAGAAGAAAAATGAGATGCAAAACCTCCAGGAGGCCCTATTTTAGCAGGCTCTACAGATCTATTTTACCTCCAGGAACCCCATAGGATTTCCACTGACGATCAGACAAAAACTGCTGCTTCTGACAGTGGGAGAAGAGTGAGTGAGGCATTTCAAAAATTCTTCTACTGTATGTTCTACATTTTAAAAAGTATGTTCCAAAAGCCCAACCAACTGTGCAATTTGGAGGCCAACCAAAAATCCCAATTTTAACCTCTCATCTTTACAGCTCATCACTGGAAAAAGTGTCTCATTTCCAAAGTTACCCACGTAGACTACTCAAATCTTAGCTATTACAATTCACCACGAATACACAGAAACAAGGCAACATGGCTCATTGTTGGAAAAATGAATTGAGAGAAACAATTTCTGAGGAACCTCATACATGAACCTCATGACAGTCTTTTAAGCAACTTTCTTATCTATGCTCAAAAGAGAAAACACACCCAAGTGAAAGAACAAAGGGAGAGTAGGGAAAGGATGCATCCACAGAATAGCATCAATGAACAATCAGAAATTATTCAAAAAATCACACAGAAATTATGGAAGTGCAAAATATATAAGTTAAAAGAGACCATCACTATAGGATTTCCAGGGCAGACTCCAGAAAGCAGAAAACAGAATCAACTAATATGAAGCGAATAATATACTGCAACTAATATACAGAAAGACCTTGGTCTCACTAAACAGAAAATACAAAAATAACTACCATGAATATGAGCCAGTTGAAGTCATGCATCCTGAAGAAGGGAAAAAAAACATTAACAGAGAATGTATCTCTGATGTACTTGCCATACATGGTGGAAAAGAAGCAAATAGGTTAAGTAAAGAACTTTGATGAAAATAATAAAATAGACAACTATTCTATCTTCAGTAACAGATAATCATTTGTTTAAACCAGTGGTATCAACAAACACCATATGGTTATAGGCCTGATTAGGAAACTCAGTGACAGCAAGTGTATACAGAATGGGAAGAGGAGGTGGGAACATCTCTACAGTCCTAGCACTGCTTCCGAGACACTATACCATTAGATTAAATTTGACTCACATTCACTGCAGGTTGATTTTTCTAACATTGAAATAATCATTAAAACAATTTTAGGAAACAAGCACACCTAGTCATGGAGGAGTAAAAATAGAATCATACAAAATGCCCAATTAAAGAAGGCAAAAAATGATACTTAAAAAAAAAACAACTAAAAAAAAGAGATAAGACAAATATGGTACACATTTCTTACTTCAAGTACATCAGTAACTAGAGACTGCTGATCACAATGACTGTCAACCTCAGTGAATGCAGCATACTTTGCAGACAGTAAAGCACACTCCAGTGTCTGGGTCATAGGTCACAACCTTGGGGGCTGGTCCCCTGCCCTGTCCTTCTTGCTGTTTCCCACTGCCATGAAGTGAGCAGCCATGCTCCACCACGCCCTCTGTCTTGATATTTCCTATGTGACTGAGACCTGTGAAGCCTGGAGAAAACAAACCATTCATTCTTCCCTGCAGTGATGTCCATGCATCTTGTCCCAGTCCAAAGTAGGAAAGCTGACCAACACAATCAATTTAAACACTACTGTATTTGTATACTCTAATAAAAAGACAGAGTAAAAGAATACAGAGAAAAGAAGACCTAACTCTTTGTAAAAAAGAAAAAAATTGAGTCAGGCAGAAGAAGTTGAAAAGATATTGTCAAAAGAACCAAAATTTCAACAGCGGTTGGTACAGCATCTGCCTGGCAAGTGCAAAGTCCTCACTTAGATTCCCAGAACCAAAAAAAAGTAATAGAACCAAAATTTCATTATGATAACTACAGTTGAGAGCTTTCTATTGTACTCTGAACAACTACTGTAAGACTAGGCTAGTATATGTGTTCTCAACAGAAAAATATGATACACATGGGAATGCATCTAATTATGTAGTTGGATTTAACAATTCAAGTGTACACAATCAGCACGATTGCTCTGGTTTGGAGAAATGCCCAGTGCACAGGACACCTTCCCATTCCATGCAGAGAACACACACCCTGCTTTCCAAGCCAGCAAAGCCCAGATGCTCACTTTCCAAATTCTGACTTTGGCAATAATTAACTGAACTGATTACCATAAAAAGCAAGCAAACTCCTTAAGGTTTTCTGCAGTCCTGTGTCTTTCATCCACCCTGAGTTACCTAGCACATCCCAACTTTACTGTCACTCAAAGAACAAGCTGTAGTCAGGGAAAACCTACTTCGTACCAGGAGCAAACCCTGTCACTCTCCACAGTGCCCTCTACCATCTCCTTTCAACTCCCACCTACTCCTCAAAGAAAAGCCATCTTCTGCCTAACCTGGGTGATACTTACAGACCTAAGAGTGCAAGCTTCCCTTTAATGCAACACACCTTTCAAACAGGTCCTAACTCAACAGTCATTCTTATTGCTTCATTTAGTTATATTTCAAACATGGTCTTGCTGTGTAGTTCAGGTGTGCATCACTGCATTTGGCTTCCCAGTCATTCATTTTTAAGCAACAATGTCTAAAACAGCCCCAGGAATGACAACCTCAACCTTGGACAGATAAACTGTCCTCCCATGCTGCACCAACCCACAGTGGCAGCTTTTCAGACTCTCGGCAGCAAGGCCTCCTGTGTAAGTAGCCAAGGACACCTGCAGGGCTGATGCACAGGAGAAACGAAGGCTTCCCATGACCTCCCTCACAGGCTCTACATTAACTGTACCTTGAAGTCACAGGCATGAATCTTGTGTTCTCAGAAAAGACTATTCAGTTATTTTAAAAGAGAAAATACCCAGTGCTCAAATATTCCAACAAAACCATTGAAATTCAGTGTTTATATGGATATACAACAGGAGGAATATCAGGCACATTTCATTGCTTGACAAGAAAAGCAAGTATTCATCCCTTTCAGACAATAAAGGTATCATTTATTCTTACAACAAAAAAGTTAAAAATCATATTTGAAACTTTTGGAGGTTGCCTCTGAAAACCAGGTATCAAAAATGTGATTGTTATTCACTGAACAAGTAGCTCGTCCTGGAAAAAAGAAATGATACTTTGGAAATGTTTGTAATTCACTAGTTTATCTACATACTGGCTTGTACTTATTTCTCTACAATAACCAAACCTATTTCTCTTATATCCAGTAGAACCCTTATGACTAAGCCTAAGAATTCCAGGTGAGTGTACTCTGACCCTCCAAAAAAGAACAGACTTTACTGTACTGTACATACAGTAAAGAAGTAAAGTAAAAATTAAAATTTGTAAATAAAATTTTGGTTTTGATCTGGGTTTGAATCTAGGCAGTACTACGCTCTACCCCAGCCTTTTTTACTGTGTGAATTTTGAGAGAGGGTCTTGCCACGTTGGTCAGGCTGGGCTTAAACTTGGAATCCTCTTGACTCCATCTCCCAAGTAACTGCGATTATTGGTATATGGTACTATGCCTGAAAAAAAATTAAAATGCTAACAAACAAAATGTAAAACTAAATGCACAAATTTTCCCCCTGAAATCCACTTCTTAATCTCTCATTTGAGTATATTTTACCTTATCTTTCTAGCGCTTCTGAAAACCTGAAGCCAAACGTGGTTTTACAGGATAACAAATGCAGGGCCAGTCAGCACAGAACTGGAAGTCAAACAAATCTGAATAATTTTTTAGCACCAAGTGAGGTCGCCCTTCTCTTCACATCAGCCCACCCTCCCACACACACACTGGCCTGCGGCTCCTGTGCGCCAAAGTGGGTGGCACCACCACCAGTGGTGGTTCTGACACCACCTCCACTGAGTGAGTTTTCCTTGACCTTGTTCATGAGTCTGAGAATCCAGGGGCCTGAGATCATTTCCACCTCGTCCTCTCGATACCAGCATCTAATTACTGGTACCACCAATGTGTGCAAGGAATGGAACCTCTGCTCAGGTAAGAAAGTCCTAGCCTCCTAAAGGGGTACCTGTTTGGATGAAGAGTAAAACAAGAGATTGCTCCTGGCGCCAGTCCATCAGGTAGAGATGCCCCAAAAGCCCCATCTTTATCCTGACTGCCCTCCAGGATCCAGAGCCTGACATTCATTAGACAAGCGACAGCCACTGGGGGGGATCTGGGGACACCATTCTCATACATTCCTGTAACATGCTTCCAGGAGACAACAGAGGAGCAAGGTAAGGACGCACCAACTTGTCAGGTTCTCAAAAAGGAACCTCAAGAAGTCAGGCCAGGGAGTACGTGCCTGTCATCCTAGCGCTCTGAGAGACTGAGAAAGTAGGACCCAATTTAAGCCCAGGCTGGCCAACAGAACGAGAGCCTGACTCAAAGAAGGGGAGGGAGGTCAGAAAGGAAGGAGAGAAGGGCCAGGACTCGGAGCGCTCTGCCAGGAAGGGCCTGCCGCCGGGAACCGACACATGAGCACCGTCCCGGCCGCAGCGCGGGCGCTGACAGCCGAGCCGAGCCCGCTCCCGCCCTCCAACTAGGCGCCGGCTCAGCAACTCGGCTGCTCGGGAGGCCGATGCGGGACAACTCAAAGTCGGGTTGGCCTGGGAAGCACGGCGCTGTCCAGGACGCTTCCTCTCCGCTGCACCCTGCAGACCTCGGAGAGGAGCCTCTGGCCGCGGCCCGACCCGCCCATCTCCCCGGCGGTGCTATCGTGGGGGAGGAACAGGCGGCCCCGGCATCGGCGGAGCTCACCATTCCTGGGTCCCAGGGGTCCCGAGCTCCGCGGACCCCGTGCCCCGCGTCGAATACAGTACGGACCAAGGCCCCGCGTTGGAAATTCCTATGGCGGCGGCGTAAGTAAAATCTCGCGATGTTTGCGGCGACTCACACCGCCATACAACGGAACCCCCGATTGGGCAGTTAATACAGCATCCTGATTGGCCAGAGGCCGGTACTCCACCCGTAGAGCTGAACACCCGCGACTCTTGGGCCACCTGGCTGAGAGCAAAGTGACAGATTCCAGCCCAGTACCACCGTAGTCCCTCAAACTGTAATTAACTAATTAGGCCCGATGGGATTGAGAATAGGTAAAAAGATCCGGGGCTATTTTGTCTATACGCTGCACTGTCATGGGAACATGGTAAGTACCTATAAGTGATCTCATACAGCAACTAGCTAACGCAACGGTAACGTGGAGCTGCAGATTTCATAACGCAGCTCACAACAGCCCACAACTTAAAACATTTTTTCCCCTTTAGTATTTTCAGACTATGGTTGACTTTTAGTTGTAGAATGTGAGCTTGCTAGTGAGGTCTTCTAGATAACTGAGTTGGCAACCTGTTTCCTATGCAGTGGGTCAACTTCCTGCCCAGGAAACCTGGACAACACGTCTTCTAAAGATTTTCTAGGTGAAGTCAGTGCTTTCGCTGCCATGCATTGCTCCTGCTCTTCAGGCAGTTACTAGCTTGTGCTCCACGGAAATTATTGGGGTCACAGAGGGGTGCCGCGTTCATTTTTTTACCGCCCAGTGGGTCACTGCAGCATCTCCACCTCACAATCCTGAGCTTCATCAGGGTTCCGTTGGGCTTGAGACGTTCTTTAAAATACGGATGTAGAAAATTGCTTGGTTCTGAGGCCATGGATAACCAAAACTAATTGGTAGAAGTTTATTGTTTGTACCTTTCAGTGCAGTGGATGGAACTAAATATGTGCCCTCCAGAACCAATACTAGAGTGACTGAGGTGTGCTCCATGACAATGCGGAACAGAACCACCGTGGTCTTCAATAGTGAGTCTCATGGTGCCACAGACACCCTAGGCCCTGCCACTAAATCCTCTGTTGCTATCCCTCTGACAGAATGGGCAGCTCTGAGTATCACCAGTGACTTCTGGGTTATTTTTCCACTGACTAATGGGTGCATCTTCTAGGCATTTACTTAGACACTTGCCTGGTATTTTCTCCTAGGCAACCTTTTTGTTTCTTTATAAGGCAGGGTTGAGACATGTCCAGGTCTCAGCCACTCACTGGTCTTTACTTCACTTTTTACTCTAAGACGGTAAGAAAGGTCAATGGAGCCGCTCCAACAATGAAGCTTAGTGATTTTTTGTGTCAAATGTATTAGTCTATCACTTCTAACTCTGTACTTAAGTTCTAAGACACACAAAAATCCAGCCAAATTCTGTGCTGTAAGAATGGCTAATTCCCCAGTTCCCAACAATATTTCCTCATCTAAATAGTTCACTACTGGCTTCTGCCATTCATGTTTCAATCAACATTGTCCTCAAAGCCACTTAAGTAATTTCTAAATGGATTTAGGATTTTCAACAGCTCTTCTCTTCCCCTGTCCAACCTCCACGTTCCAGTATCAGCAATGCAAGGATTTTTCCCCCTCAACTATTTATAACAAAATTGTTACAGCTCTACTAACTTCAAAGTCACTTCCACATTTTCAGGTATTTGCTGCAACAACACAAATAACTCTGAATGCACTCAATGTATCCTACTTTGACTGCTATAAAAAAAAAAAAAAATACCTCGCCTGTGAGATGGATTCTGCCAGCCTGGGGCTTAGCTATCTCTATGGCATCCCCCCAACTTGGCACTGGACCCCAAAAAACTGCAGCATATCTCTGCAAAAGTAATTCCTGTATTATTCTTCTAGTTCCACAAATAAATCTCCTGCTCTCTTTTCACATGTGTGCCAAGCCCTCTCCAATCCCGATTTCAACTCCACAACCACCCAAGTATTCCACCCCAAGCCCAACTTCAGAAAGACCATTCCCAAATTCCCCTTTTTCTGATGGTCCTTGTAGTCTCTAGTAGCCCCCCGCCCATGCCCACAATAAAGGCTTTAAAAAAAAAAAAATCTGTCTCTCAACTGCACCAATAAAAAACCCTAACATTTGGGTGTCCTGACTGGGATCAGTTGTAGCTGCAGCTCCTGGGGGCCTCCCCTGGCTTGAGCTCCTCCCACCAATGAGCCACCTCTCTTTGTCTCATTGCTGCCACTGCTGTTACTAACCTCCACCCAACACTGACCCAGCTTGTTTCTCACAGGTTCTCACAATGGGCCATTTCTCACGTTGGGGTTTCTGGCTTCATTTTCTCGTTCTCTCTTGAAACTATGAGCTCATGTCAGGATTCCCCCAATGTCCTTTCGGACTCTCCCCTTGTTCTCTCAGTGATGACTGGCAGATACAATGCATCAGGGATCTCTCTCTCTCATTCAAATTCCTGACAAGGATGATGATTCTTCCTGGGAACTGTGACAGTATTTGTGACCTTGGGCTCATCTTTAATTAGGCCTCAAAAGGAAATGCTCCTCCCCAACTCACCCACCCACCCAAATAACAAACTGCTCAGATGCCTAAGACAGTTGGGCACATTTAGTCTCTGAGCAATCTTAAAACCCAATTTTTTATTGACAAACAGCTTAAACTCAATATAGCTGGCCAATGGTCAGCGATACCTTATCTACAATTTTCCCCCTCAGGGTGCACCCCTCCTTCCACCGCACTGGCAAAACTCTCCTTGTTCTAGCCTTTTCCTTCACCTCCCACTTCCCCTACTACTCCTGTGTGGCCCTCTTCTTCTGACCTCACCACTCCCTTCCCTTCCAGTAATCCGCTCCACTGTCACCATTTTCTCCAACAACACAACACGCAAGATCTCACACCTCCCACTCACTACCGCATTGCAGTTGCTCACACTCATTGCTATCTGGTGACCCTTCCCACACATTGCCCTCATTATCCCTACCCCAACTGCCTCTGACATGGTGTTCACCACAACCTCTCCTTCCCCTTTGCGAGATGATAGGTACTAAAGACTTGGCCCATGTTCTTGTCTCTTTTCCTTCTCTTCTCTCTCCCATATCTCCAAGCATTTAACAGCCTCCACTGTTGATCCACACACTTTTATCAAAGAGCTTAAACTTCTAATTCAATCCTACGATTTAACCTACAAGGATCTTTGTTATTCTTCCACTCTGTCTCCTCCACAAAAGGCTAAGCTTTGGCAGGTAGATCAGTCAGGCTGCCAGAGATCAGATCCTAACCATCCCATCGGGGCAGCCAAAGTGTCAAATGCAGACCCCCAATAAAATTACCAGCCTAATGCTGATGGCTCAAAATATGCAACATAAATGATTGACTATATCTTAGCAGATCTTCAAAAAGGCTAATTACCAAAAACTGCAGGAACTAACCCAACCATGGTAAGCTCTGATCAAACTTACTAATGTAAAGTCCAAATCACCTGACGGGATTATTCTCCTTAACACCCATTTTACTTTCCAAACAACTCCAGACATTCAAGTCAAATTTTAAACACTAGATCTTCACCCTCAGTCCCCTGAAAGAGCCCTCCTAAAAGTGGCTTGCCATGTCTTCAATAACAGAGAAAAGCAACAAAAACAGGATGATCTTAAAAAAGGTTACACTCCAGGCTAAACTCCAAGGCCAATTTCTGGCTGTGATACTTGGGGCTCAAAATGAAACACAGGCCACAGAATTCTAAATCTTAGCCCTCTTCACTCCTCCCCAGGACCATGCTTCAAGTACAAGGATGGATGCTGGGCATCAGACTGTCCTGATCTACAACTGCTGCTTGTGATCCTGACCCTGTCCCAAGTGCAAATGAGGGTCACTGGAAGTGCAATTGCCCTGTCTGCCAGAGAGCAGGTAAATCATCAGCTTTCCTGCCCCCACAGGATACATCACTGTCATCTCCAGACTCATCACTCACTGATCTGTTTGGACTTGTCACTGAAGAGGAAATGACAGGGTTTGGAGCTCACAGGCCCCACCACCATATCTCTCTCAGAGCTCCAAGTCTCATTGGACATCTCAGTAAAACCCTCTCTCTTCTTGTTGATACAGAGACCATCTAAAGTGTTTTACTTGAGTTTTCAGGTGGATGTTCTCAATCTACCACCTCTGCAGTGGGAGTTGACAGTCAGCCTCCTCAACCTCTCCAGACAAGACCTATTCCTAACAGATGCCAAACCCTTTTATTTACATACAACTTTATTATCCCAACCTGACCAGTACCATTTAGGTAAAGATATGCTACAAACACTCAATTTCTCTTATACTTTCTCTTTCCCCACGACTCTCATACTCCAAACCCAACTATCCTATGTTACTGCTTATCCCTTCCCCTTCCTTCCTCCCTCATCAACCCTACAGTCTGAGACACCTCCAATCCTACCTGTGCCACCTATTCCACTTCAGTGCTAATTCACCTCAAAGGTCCTTTGTGTACCCCAATACCCAGTGGGACCTAAACATCAACTGGGGCTCAAACCTATAATCTGCTTGTTAACTAATGGGTTTCTGAAGGTCACCCACTCACCTCACAACACCCCTATTCTCTCCCTGTCCTCAAATCCAATGGTTCTTACTGCCTAGTCCAAGACCTCAGAGCTACTAACAATGAAGTGATGCCAATTTGCCTAGTGGTGCCAAATCCTTATACTATGATGTCTCACATTCCTCCATGTACCTTTTGTTTTTCTGTATTAGACCTTAAAAATGCATTTTTCACTTATTTCCTTACACCCCAATTGCCAAGATTTCTTTGCCTTCACATGGCCAGATCCAGACCCTCCAATCTACACAGCTCACATAAACAGTTCCACTTCAGAGCTTCAGGGATAACCCACAATTCAGCCAAGCCCTTACTGCTGATTTCATCACTCCCAATGTTAAATCTAGCACTCTTCTCCAATATACAGATGATCTTCTCCTGTTCTCCAACCTATGCTCTAGCTATACAATGTATGGTGATCCTTCTCAAGTTTCTCTCAGAGATACAGTGTCCCCCACCAAACCGCAAAGAGCTTTACCAAAGGTCAACTATTTGGGTCTCATCCTCAGCTCCACCATCCATTCTATAACCTCAGACCACAAGGCCCTTCTCCACGATCTCCAGGTGCCTACTATAAAACAACTAGTGTTATCTTTTCTAGGATTAGTAAAGTTTTTTCACCTCTGGATTCTCAACTTTACTGCATTAGCCCAACCCCTATATGCTATATTCAAAGGCTGTAAGGTAACAGAGGCAAGTTCACTGCCAGCCGGAACATCTTCATGAAAAGCAGAACTAATTGCCCTCACACATAAAGACAAAATCATAAACATCTATACTGATTCAAAATACACATTTAGAACCCTTCACTCTCATGCTGCCATTTGGCAAGAAAGAGTCTAATCACCATTCAAGCAACCCCCATCACTAATGCACCTCTCATTCTCAAACTACCAGAAGCAGCACAACTTCCAAGACAGGTAGCAGTCATTCACTGTAAGGGACACCAAATACCATCATCAGATCCTATCTCTCAGGGTAATACCTTTGTGGACACACAAGCCAAATTAGCTACACAACAGCCATCTCTCTCTCATCTTCTTCCCCTTATCCTTAACACCTTGCCCTCACCTCAACATTCACTTACAAACTACAATTAATACACAAAGGCACTTATAGCCAAAAACACACAGGGATAGATTTTTCAGGGATCAAAGCTCCTCCTCCCAGGCCTCAAACATCATCCCTAACTTACACAACTATTTTCATATAGACACTATACAAGCCCTATAAAAACTCCTAAGTCTAGTCACTACTTCTCTTTCTCTAAAAATCATTATTTACCAAGTCACCAGCAACTGTCATCTCTGTGCTAAAACCTCTCCTCAAGGACATCTACCCCCTCCTTCCCAACCCACCATCCTCGGGCGCACCTCAAAGACTAACAAATAGATTTTACACACACACCTCATCTTAAAACCTACCTGCCTCCACCTCACTCGTTCATAGTCCCAGTGTTCTGTTCCCTTTAATTCTCTGTCATTTTTTACTGTTGGGTCTCATCTTCACTTTCATTCTTTTAACAGTCTCTCCCTAAAACACCAAGAGAATCATTACTGTATTTCTCGGTATGATTTTAGGCTTGAGCACCTTACACTGCCTAAAATATAGCTCTCAATCTTACTCCCATTTCCACTGTTCCTGGTCATTCTTCTTCTAGTACATAGCTTTACTGACAGCCTACTCGACAACTTTCAGCCTCACTATTTCTCTCTTCCACATACATCCCAACCTCGGATCCCAAGTTCAAACCAAAGTTCTCCAATACCACAAGACACAACAAATAACCCCAACTCAAGCCAAGCCTCTCCCTACCCTTTCTATGAGCTTCCACAATGCCCCCCGCCCACCTTAAGCCTTCACCATCTCCAAAACTGGTAACAAAACCCATGATGATTAACTACACAGTTACCAATACAGCTGTCACTCTTCATTTCTCATACTGTCAGGTTTGCCCCTCCACACAAACATAGGACATTAACTGTGACAACTGGGCAAATGACCAATTGACAATGTGAGCATTACTTAGCCCTGCCCAACACCCTAAACAATGCCAATACTCTGATCCTGGCCACTTTTATACCTCTCCCTTTGGATGTGAGACAACAGATCCTTATCATGAAGGCACCCCATGAAAACAGACAAATCCCCACATCTCATGTCCTTCTCCAATAAACAACTACCAAAAGCCATCACTTTAGACATAATCATCAAAAACACCTCCCAATACTCCTTAGGCAAAGCATAGACATAATCAAGAACACCTCCTTCCACTAATACTCCTTAGGCAAAACATGAGGTTATACCATTTATGGCAGAGCAGGTCCCTCCTCAGGAAGAAAAACAGATTCCTCATTTCACCCATTAGGGCCCCCATTCCTAAGTACTCTTGCTGATGTGTGCTCTCTTCCCCACATGCCTGGAATCACTGTACTGCAGCTCTCCATTCTTCTCTCCTTAATCAAACATTTGAGGCTCTCTGTAATATCACTGACATGGTTTTTCCATCTGCTCCTCTCTGAGGGGCTGGGCCCTCTATCTCCTCCCCTTGGCGGAACCTCTCAAACGACTGCTTGTCTTTTTAAACTTTTTAACTTCTTTCCAAGACTTTTTCAATCCAGGATACAGGCCTCACTACCAGAGCTCCTTGTCCTGGCTGAGACTTCTGGCACCAGCTTGAACATGGGTCTAACTAGTCATCTTGACAATTACAACAGTCCCCACAAGTGCCTCACCAGCAGGAAGCAATCTAAAACAAACACTGCTCCTGTTCATTCATAAAATAAAAAGAGGGGAATAATGTCCATCTTATAAACACCAGATTCCCATCTGTTTGCCACCTCACTTTTCTTACCAAAAAAACTAGCACAGCATGACAGCAACTCATGTTGAAACATAATGTTGAAACATAATTCACATTGAGAGCACAGAAGTCTTCAGTTATGGATGGTTAAGTCTGTATGTTTCTAATCTATGAAGCTAGTAAGTGAGGATGCTCAAAAGGTGTATTTTTTGAGAAACAAAAGCTTAATTGCAACAGTGTTGCCTTCTCCATCCCTTCCTAGGCTGGCAGTCTGACAATTTACCTACACATACTGCTCTCCTTAGACCCACACAGGAGAATCAGAGATGAATTATATAGCTTGCTAAGGATTCAACAAATGTATAATTTTAATTGACACAAGGATGATCACCAACTGATGATGGTTTGACTTATAATATTGATGATAGAAAAGCGATACATGTCCAATAGTTTCAAGACTAATGTTTCATGACAGTGGTGTCAACCCACTTTCTCATGATGCTGGGCAGAAGCAGACAATCATCATGAAGGTAAGCAATCCAAATGACACAGTGACTGTACTGAATGAATTACATGACATTTATAACACCTGTTCATGTAACACCTGTCAGATGATTTTGCATGGCCATGGGCTTTTGTAAATGATGTGAGCATATTTTAGGAGAGACTCACCACTGATGATAAGTGGGTTGTGTACAATTTCTTCAAATTTTTATGTTTTCTTACCATGGTTTTATAGAAATGTAATCCCACCATAGCTGGAAGAGCAGTGCATTTATGGAGAAGAGTTCACTATACAATGCAGGAAATGATTCAGAGTTTAGATAATAGGCTGAAAGAACAAAAGGCTGAGAAGACTTCAGATGGCCTTACATTTACAAGGTCATGTCTTATGAACAGAAGTTATATACAGCATCAAATGATGCTACTCAGAGGTCAGGATAGATCAAAACAAAACAAAGGTATTTTATAAATGTGTCCTAAAACTGGTAAAAAAAAAAAAACAAAACAAATAAAAAAAACACATTCTCAGTTATCAAAATGTGCAAAAGATAAGAAATATTTAGAACCTGCTACCTGAAGACAGTAGAATAATAACAATGTTACTATTTGACTGGATCAAACACCCTCTGGCTCAATAAGAGAGCCAATGCTGGATGCATTATTACCAACATAAATTTTAGGTTTCCTTCAGATAAGGTAATGGCATTATACTCTTTATATTACTTACATTCATAGGCTTTCAAAACAGAGAAACTTTTACAGGACACTGACTCCGTTATGACTGACATCTTTCTTGTATTTTTCTCATTTACAGTCTCAAGCCAGTGTACATTACATGTAGACTGACTAAACAATTTTGCACATCTATTTTTTCTAATGTTTTTTCTCCACACTGTGTTCTTCTAACCCTGTGAACAAAACCCAGGTGCTGGAGGCTTTTCTCAGTCTACCCTGACAGGAGGCACCTCCTCTAGGCATTCTGAAGTGTATGATGGTGGGTGTGGGATAAAGAGGCCTTCCACATTCTATACTCAGGATTTCTGGCGAGTGTGAGTCCTTATATGGTTTTGCAAGTAACCATAGCTCCTGAAGACTCTCCCACATTCCTCACAGGGACAGTGTCTGTCCCCATTGTGAGTTTTTCCATGCCTTAGCATTTTGCCGTATTCTCGGAAAGCTTTCCCACATAGCTCACACACATAAGGTTTCTCTCCATTGTGGTTTCTTTCATGTATTCGAAGAGTACTGGCACAAGTGAAGGCTTTTGCACAGTGCTTACATACAAAAGGTTTCTCTCCTGTGTGGATTCTTTCATGTATTTCAAGGAAGCTGGAACACCGGAAGGATTTCCCACATTGCTGACATATAAAGGGTTTTTCTCCAGTGTGAATTTGTTCATGTCTTCGATAGTAGGTGGAACAAGAAAAAGTTTTCCCACACTGCACACATGCATAAGGTTTTTCTCCCGTGTGAGTCCTTTCATGATTTCGAAGGTCACAGGGCCACTTAAAAGCTTTATCACATTTTTTACATTCATGGGGCCTCTCTGTACTTTCCTGATACTCGGATGGCCTGTGTTCGTGGTTAATTATGATATCCTTTGGAAACAGTGAAGGACTACTGGCCACTTCTTTATACATGTGCCTTTTACGTTGTTTTACCCTAGAAGTTTTCTTGTTCACTCTATGATTTGGAGTCTTGATGAACATTTCTCCAAGTTGTCTATTTTCTTTATGTTCAAAGAATCTCTGTAGCACTTGACATCTGTAATATAAGAACAACACATTACGAAGGGATTTACTTGTGAATGACTTTATATTTACTAATAAGTACTAATTTATATTTTAATGTCACCATAAAATGTGTCAGCTGTATCACTCTATAAATTGTGTGAACATATATGGACTGAATGCTCAAAAAGATTACATATCAAAGCACATGTGCTTCCTGGTATTGTTTCTAAGGTAACCACAGTGCAAATACCAAACATCTAAGTTACATTTACACACAGGTTTAGAATCTGCTATCCAAAATGCATGGGAGGGCACAAAGTAGTGGTGCTGCAATCCCAGGACTCAGGAGGCTGAGGCAGAAAGATTGCCACAAGTTCCAGGACAGCCTGGGCTACATAGTGAGTTCAAAGCCAGCCTGAACTACATAGTGAGACCCTGTCTATGATTCAAAAGAAAAAAAGCATGGGAAAAGAAGTGTTTTGGATTTTGAAATGTTTGTATATATATCTGGGAAATGCAAGCCACATATTAACAAAAATTTATTTCTTTCACATACTCCTTATATGGAAAGCTTAAAAGCAGCTGTATACATTTTAAATAATTTTACGCATATAACAAAGTTTAAGTACATCAAACATCAGAACATATAACCTGTGGCGCTCAAGAGTTTAGGATGTTGCAGCATTTAGGATTTTGGATTTTTTGGAGTAAGGATTCTCAATCAGTAGGAAGTTTAAGGAAAAAATTCTGAGAGGAGACTTCCTGAGAACATGGCGGACAGACAGCAGCAGCTACTGAAGGCTCTCTAAAGGCTCGGCTCAGAGGCCAGGAATGATGCGGACTAAGGAGATACGAACCAGTAGAGATATGCTCTGCTGACTCAGGAACGAACTGGGCTGAGAGAATCTAACTTAGAATACAGTCCTGGCGCTAAAATAGGAACAGAAAAATCTCGGTGTGGAGGCTCGACCCCGCGCCATTGGAAACCGCGGTTTGGATTTCCCGCCGCCCAGCGGCTGGCTGCCTCCACAGCGGCTCGGCAAGGAGAGACGCGCCCGCCAAGCTCTGGGAACGGGAGTCTGCGAGCGGAGTCCCCGCGCCATTGGAAACCGCGGTTTGGATTTCCCGCCGCCCAGCGGCTGGCTGCCTCCACAGCGGCTCGGCAAGGAGAGACGCGCCGAGCTCTGGGAACGGGAGTCTGCGAACGGAGTCCCCGCGCCATTGGAAACCGCGGTTTGGATTTCCCGCCGCCCAGCGGCTGGCTGCCTCCACAGCGCCTCGGCAAGGAGAGACGCGCCGAGCTCTGGGAACGGGAGTCTGCGAACGGAGTCGGAAACAGGACGGACAAGGAGGAAAACTGACTGGTGGCGAGGTGAGCAAGAAACTGATCCCCTACCACAGTTTGACTCCAGCGGAGGTTTTTCTGGGCTCGGGCAGTCCTGTAAGAGCAGGGCGCGGTGACAACTCCAGCCGCACATTCCCCTCTCGGACAGGATTGGTGAAAGGTGACTGGCCTGAGTGACGCTGCTGGCGGACTCCCTAGGCTGGCCTAACCCAGATCCCAGAGCCTGACGGTGGCCCGGAGGAGCGACCGACTCCCGCATAGGCTGCCTCCTCCACAACTCCCTGGGGCGCAGCGGTGGGCGGGAACAACTAGCCAGCGCAATTTGATCAGGCTATGGCTGACAGGCAGGGAAGCCGGGCCTCCTATGTAAGATTGCATTTTATAAGGAACAGAAAATATGGGGAAGGGAAGCAACAAAAAAGGCTCCTCGGCCCCTAATCCTGAGAAACAGGCAATAGTGGACACCGCACCAATATACATTAAGCGCCATCTAGAGAGCCTCATAGACCAATTCAGGAATGAAGTTATCAATGACCTGAAGCTAGAAGTATGCAGAATAGTTAGAGAAATGCTAAGCACCACCCAGGAAAAAGCAGATGGTGGAATGGAAGAACAGAAAAAGAGGGGAGAATTGCTTGATGGAGAAAACAGAGAAAGCATTGAGTATGTGAAGCAGGTTCAAAGAGACTATCAAGAAATTAAGAAGTCTATCCAAGACTGGCATAACAGCTTGAAAGAAACTAAGGACAGACTATCTGAATTGGAGGGCAGACTTGAAACATGGGAGAATGAAATGAAAAACTTCTTAAAAATAACAAAGAAACACACAGCAATAATACAAAGACAAGAAGATGATAAGAGGAGCCATAACTTAAGGATTAAGAACATAAAAGAAGAAGTAGGGACACAAACAAGTGAACTACAAAAGCTACTCACAGAAATAATCCAGGAGAATTTTCCTAATTTAGCAAAAGGTAAAGATACTCAGATGTATGAGGCATACAGGACCCCAGCTACCTACAACCCTAACAGAGAAACACCCAGGCATATAATAATAAAAATTCCAGAAATTCAATACAAGAACAGAATATTAAAAGCTGTAAGAGACAAGAAACAGATCACTTACAAGGGAATACCCATCAGAATTACAGCAGATTTCTCTTCACAAACCATCAAATCACGAAGAGCATGGGGAGAAATAATTCAAGCTTTGAAAGATAATAATCTCCAGCCAAGATTGAGATATCCTGCACAACTGTCCCTGGAAATTGATGGAAAAACGAGGTGCTTCCAGGATAAAGAGGAACTGGGGGAATTTGCAACCACCAATTCAACCCTACAGAAAGTATTGCAGGATATTCTAAAAAAAGAAAAATACAAAGAACCCAGAAATAGTGGCGGGGAGGCCACAACGAATGGAGCAGAGAACAAAATGAAGAAGACAAACTGACAGCTACTGACAGAAAAAGAGCTCAACAGAAATGAGACAGAGAAGATTGGATGATAGGAACAGCTTTTTTTGGAGAAAATGACATCTTAATGGGTAATGCTGATTTAGTACCATCTTGTTTTGAAGTCTCATCTAGCTTTTGTTCTTCTGTCTCCAATGGTCTAAACAGGTTGTATCTTATTGGATTTTGTTATGTACGATAGTATAAGCAAAAACCTTTTAAGGACAAGGAGATTATACAGAGACCATTGTTCATTTTCTGTTAGTCGATTCTAAATACTCTATAATGCTGTCATTCTCTTAAATGGTTTTACATTGTTTTGATATACTTAATGCTACAGTATACGAAGTTGTACTCAAGGACTTCAAGGAAAGAGTCAATATGGTAACTACTTTTGGGTCGGAAATATCTGGTGGTGAAACACTATTCTGCTTAAATGGTTATGTTTTGATCTGCCCTGTTTCGCTGTTATGCCCTCTTTTTTCTCAATCTCCACTCCACTATTTACTTTTTTATTTTTATCCATTTAATTAAAGGGAAAAATATAGCAGGATATAATATAGTAACCCACTTTGACTTTCTATTATCTCGATCTGAAGCCCTGTATTACTCTCACCATCTTGTTTTTGACTGAGGTTCCTCTATTCTGTTTTGCTGGATAGTATCAGGTTCGAAAGTTTAGGCATCAGCTGAGAAGATAATGAGATTCATTATAACGCCCATTCTTGTTGACTTTTATCTACTTTTGAAGACCTACAATATCTCCAATGTTTTGGTTTTGCCGGTTTTATTCTTTACGGTTTTGTTCAATTGTATAACAACTAATGATATAGGCAATTCTATTAGAAATAGCGGGAGGCATTAGGGTAACCATTGTTGATCACCTTGTATTATGTTTTTATATTATCTATTATGTCCACCCTTTTGACTTGACCGATTCTGTTCTGTTATGTCACATTTGGTTTTACTCTCTTCCAAAAAAGCAATAAGAACCGTGGGAGCAATGAAACCCAAAATGTGTAATAGTCATTGTACAAAAGAGAGGAAAAGAAAGTGCTCTAAACTATATAACTGCATGTATATTTAAGTGTATAAGATAGAAAATGATATCACAGAGTTTTATTGGATCATTGAACAGAACTGTTTGCAGTATCATTGTTGGAATGTCCACTCTACAAGCTTTAATTTTGTGACTTGAACAATTATTTCTAAGATGGCAATATGTAATCCATTAACTAGTGATTGCCTACTGCACATTTTTTTCTCCTGTAAATCTGTATAACTTGTACCCCTTCACTTTTTTTTTCTTTCTTTTCTTTTCTCCTTAAATAAAATAAAATAAAATATAAAAAAAAAAATTCTGAGAGGAAATCATTTTGAGGCAGGGATTTCCTATGCTTCTTTTAAATACTTCCTATCACTCCCAATTTTGTAAGGAACAATCCTTTCTCTTGTAAGTAGAAATTACCTTAGATTTCTGTTGAGATTTTTATACTCATCTTCAATGATCTGGTATTGCCATTTTTGACCTAAAATGCAAACACCAGAAAATTATGATAGATTACTATACTATATAAAAATTGGTAAATTCCAGGTTCATGTTCTATTGTGACCATATTAAGCTTTTTCACCAGTGTTTATTTTTCATATTCTAAAACTTTGAACAGCAGTCCTAAGTAAGAGATGAGGTCCCCCTTACCTACAGAGGCCAAGTTCCACAAAGTCTCTTGCATTACAGCTCTGTAGAAATTCTTCTGGGAAGGTTTCAACAAAGCCCACTCCTCTTGGGTGAAGTTCACAGTCACATCATCCAAGGTCACTGACTCCTAAAATATCCCAAATATGTTTCAGAAGGAAGGGTGGGACTGGTAACAGCAATGAAAATTTATGAGAATTCACAAGATGCTGTACAGCTCACACATTTACTACAAAACTTGGTAGTTGTAGTCTTTTTCTCTGTCCATATTCATGTCCTCTCACAGAGCTTTTCTGTTGAATGAAATAAGACCAACAGCCAGAACTGTAATACACTAATGGGGATGCAACAGTATAACTACAGGATGGTAGATCAGCAATATCTTCAGAGAAACAATCACAAAGACAAGGAAGGAATATAAGGAATACTTCAGAGCTGTCAAAATCAAGATGGAGTCACTTATGTCAGCCTTACCAAACACCGAAGCCAAAAGACTATAAAGCAAGTATTCACATAGTGAGTGCTTCATGATAATTGTTACAAAGGTCTGCCCAAAGCCCAAGTTTGTCCTGAGTCACTCTGAATTTGACTGAACAGACCTACCATTTAAAAATGCAGATCATGCTACTTGCAAATAGAACACTTTCATGAATAAAATGGGAAAAATGCTCTATAGCAATGAACAAAAGCAATCTTGGGAATAGATGAGCATAAGTCTTTGGTGGGATGCCCTGTGTCTGACACTCTGGTTGGTTAACTGAGCATAAGGAGGCACCTGTACCCTCACAAAATAAAACTGTAAGTATTCTGAATAATTCTTATAATGCACCTATAAGTCCATAAATTGCAAAATCATGTTACAGGTACAGATAAACTTAATCTTGCATCTGCTTAGTTGGTTACAATTTCTCCCTGCCACCTGAAGAAATGTTTCATTCAATTTGCTTGCTACCCAGCAGGGCTTGTTCTAATCTACTACCTTCCATATTGTTGTTGTGGGATTTGGTTGCAATGTACACTTAGAGTTACCAGAAGAGAATGCAAAGAATGGGCTCAATAAGACTGAAAAGGAATTCAGGCACATGGGAAATGAAATGTATTATCCCCAAGAAAAAGACACTTAGCATCAAATTTCCGAAACACATTTGCATCCCAAGGCTCTGGCCAAGTCAAGAGAACAAACTAGATGAATATTATGCAAAGGACAGTGGGAAACAGTAACTAGTAGTATCTGTAGAAATCACTTTTCTGACTCTATGCTAAGTTAGCTGTTCCTTGGAATGCTGATTACACAACAGAACAAAAGCAAGCTTGTGATGTCACTGCTTACAGCCTCATCTAGGAAACCCTCTCCCTGTGATAACTGCTATTGTTAAGTATGCACCCTTTGTGGCTTTACTAAGTGAGGCTGTTATATAGTGTGTGTCCTCTGTAGATTTTCCATGTAGTGCCACTGTTGATTACACACCACTTTCAGGATTTGCTGAGGATGCACCCCTCATGAGACTTTGCCAAAGGGTGCTGCTGAAGCATGTATGGCCCTTCTGTATATTTCAAGTAATTCCACTGAATCTGAATACACTCATTTACAATGCTTCTGTATTAGCAAGTACCAATTTTAATCCCTTCCTGTTCTTCCACAAATCACCTCTATTTTCTTTTGTCTCTCATCAACTATCTAGCTGTCCGAGCACAGCCAGGATGTGGACCTGACAGCACCGCAAGAATTTTTGAAAGATGTCTTCACATTCATTTAAAAATCATATGAAATATTCACTCACAGAAATTATGTTCTAAGTTACAAAACACACTTTAACAAATGTAAAGGGATAGCAGTATATAAAGTCCTCTCCAATGATATTGGAATTTAAATGGAACCCATGGAAAGCTCCATGGAACTGGAGATTAACCCAAACATTTACATAACACAAGTCAAAAACAAGCCTCCTAAGAAATAAAATATTTAAAAACACATAAAAATGTCTCATCGTAGCCAAATTTGTGGGATGAAGTAAGGCATCCCACTCCTAATCTAATGAATCAGTATGAGAGGAGAATGACCTAAATGCAATGAACTAATTCTCTACTCTGAAAACCCAGGGAAGAATGAGACAATGTCAAATCAAGGAGAGAGAAATAATGGTTAGTAAACACATCAAAAAAATTACAGAGAAAAAAAAAACCAACAGAACATTAAAGAAACTAAAGCCCAATTCTCTTAAAAGATCAATAAAACTGGCAAGAATTCAGGCAAAATAACTAGAAGACTAGAGAACATACAAATTAAGAACATAAGAAATGAAAGATAGGATGTGAACACTATCTATGGACATTAAAAGGACAATAAATGAGTGTTATAAAGAATTCCATGCCCATAAACTTAACAATCTGGGGTGAAATGAACCAATTTGTGGCAAGAAACAATCTACTAAAACTCACAACCAGCTGAGACAATACAAATTGAAGTGTATAAAGACATTAAAACAGTAAGAAATAACTATGTGAAATAAAAAGGGCAAGGTCCACAAGAAGGGAATGATTCACTCTGTCTAATATGGAAGAAATCTCACCAATTCCCTTTAACCTCTTCTAGGAAAGAAGCAGAAGTAACAAAGTTTTATGCTACACAGCAAAACTACAATGATATCAAAATTGAAGAGTCATACAAAATAAAACATAGATCAATACCTTCACAAATAATACCAACTCCTACCTAACAACATGTAACATGTAACAAATAAACTAGGACCAAGTAAGAACTATGGAAACACTGAGAAAGGAGTTAATGCAATCCATCACTTTGACAAGCTAAAGAACACAGTTCCTCAGATCATTAACAACAGATGCAGAATAGCCAGAAAACGAGAAAGAAATGCAAAACGCATTGATGAAAATGACAAGCAAAAATAAACTTGTCGTTGGCAACAATGAAATGATTATGTAAAATTCCAAAGAATCAACAAAAAAGCCTAGTACCAAGATGGTTCGACATGAAGTTAACGTACAAAAGTACATCATTTTGCTATATAGCAATGAAGACCTGGATTTACAATTCAAAACATAGCAGTTACATAGCACCAGAGAATCAAACAGAAAATCAAATCAAACCAAACCAAACTGAACCAAAACAAAACAAAAAAAGGAAAGAAGTTCACAGAATGAGAAAGGCCCCTTTAGGAATAATGCTTATCGCCAGTGGTCACTGGTATAAAGTAATGTATAATCATACAAAGATGCTGTGAAACACCAGAACTCAGATTACCCCGAGTCAGTAAACTACACAATAAATGAATACACACATAGGAAATGTAATACCAAACTGGAAATCAACACACAAATCAGTGACTCATACTGTACAAAAATATATAAAGCATTAGAATTTGCAAACAAAAATCAAGAATATCAAAAACATCAAAAAATAATCTTCAACAATCTAATCCCATAAGTAGAGAAATGAAATGGTTGATGCAAGCTGAAGGTCAGCCTGGGCTACATAGTGAGTTCATAGCCATCCTGAACTACACCGTGGACCCTGTCTCAAAACAAAACAAAACAACAACAACAACAAAGAAAAAAAAATGGCTGGTAACAGCCTTGCCCACATCAGAAGTCAAAAGAAGCAAAGGAAGGAAACTACAAATATTGCAAACACCACCTCCATGCATAACGCTAATAGTATTTAACAGCAGTATTAACTCCTTCCAAATTCAAGAGGCAAAACTAAGTAAACCTTTTACTTCATGATAAAGAGATGGAAAGCTACATTGAAAGCCCTACCGACAGCTCTGGGTGCAAAGGTGCATCATACCAGGGAAACACACCTCACACGATCATGGCCAGTTTACTCATCTCCCTGGTGATACTATAAAGGATCTCAGTGATACTACAAAGCACATATATAAATGCACTTATTTAAACTTAATATAAACAAGTAATCCTCCTGGAGTCTTCAGATCTTACCACTATATCCACTCAAGTTTCAAATGAGAAAATCACAATTTTATACTCAAATCGTGAAATAAAATGCCTGAATGCTTATGTAAACTTTACAGCAACAAGATTCTACCTAGGAAAGAAAAGGAAAGGGAAGGAAAGCAGCTTAAGGAAGCAGCCTGCTTCACCCACTCTTGAGGCTATAGTAGTAGTACAAACATACCCCAAGGCTGGAGACCCTTCCACTAGCAGTAAGGTAGCAGAAAGTGGCTCACACCTAGATAGTGAGTGATGAAACGTGAGAAGCCAAAAACATTTTAGGAGCACACCCCTGCTGTTCTCACCTGGACAGGTGTCTTCCTCCAGATCCTCCACTCAGTCCACCCAGTGAGCAGGGCTCTACAGGGACTGACTTTCACTGTCTTCTCACACTGCTGACACAAAATGTGTGGTACCGCTGAAACCAACCAAGTCTCCAATACCAAACGGGTGGCCAACAACTCAGTGATGACACCACACAGAGTTAGCAGAGACCCAAAACTCTGGGATTGGCCCCTGCACCATGCGCCCTCTGCAGATACCAGCCCAAAACACCACACTGTGTTTATTGTCACGAGCCCCCAACTCAAAACTATGGCACCCTGAGATAGTTCACTGTCATCTGACTGGAGCTCGTTATGAACGGCAAGCCATGCAATCTGTCAGCCAGGAAACAGTAAGGTTTTAGGATCTCGGTGCCAGATACTGGGGACAAAGACCAAATATATTTTATTACACTACAGACCCAAATAAACTCTCATCTTCCTAACAGGCAAAACGCAATGGCCTCTTTTTCTGCATCAGACCCACACAGGTTTTCTCAACTGGCACAAACTACAGTCACTAGAGCAGCTCTAGAAAACAGCTGAGGATACTGAATGCTCCTCCCAGAGCTGTCCATTCTGCAGGTGCAGCCACCTGCCAGGAAACATCCTCCCACTACACAGACATGATGGCCCTTAGTGAGGACAAGGCAGACAGGCTTTCCAGATTTCTATTCGTCTCAGAAAGAACCCGCTGAACTTCCCAGCAGGAACAAAACACAGAGGAGCTGGAGACCTGATGCTTTCTCTTTCCCTCACACCTATGACTCCTGAGCACTGCTCAGCCAGTGGCTGTCACAACCCCTGTTAGATCACCACCTTAAGGACAGGCTGAACTTATGGGAAACCATTCTGTGGTTTAGTAGCTGATGTGGCCACTAATCATCATTTCCCCTGCCTCTTCTATCTCCTATTTTTTTTTCTTTTGAGACAGGGTCTCACTAAATAGTTTAGCCTAGTCTCCAACTCACAATTCTCCTGCCTTAGCCTCTCAAAGTGCTGTGATTATAGATAAATGCCAAGAACCTCGGCTTCTCCCACCTTCTCTCTACTCTCATTTGCTCTCCCCTGCCCCCAAGGCCTTTTTCTAATATTTGAGATGCTTGAAGAACTTACATCTGGGGTTTTCCCACTGTTGTGACTCTCCTTTCAGATAGTCATCTACCTGAACTGGCATTTTCTTAAAAGCAACATCCAGAAAGAACGCCAGGAGCAACAAGCACAACCCCAGCAAGGGGACCCCTCCTGCTGCTGTGAGTTGAATGTGGTTTTGGGAAATTCAATCTTCACTAGATTTTAGGAAGTGGGACAAGGTTAGGGGTCAGCACTCCTGCAAGACCCTGGGTCTCTCTGATTCCTGGAGTGGTGAGTTACCTGTTAAGGAAGGCTGTAGGTCACTTCTCTCTCACACTCCCTCTCTCTTGGCCCCTTCAGGCGCTGACAGTGAGAGACCCTTGCTCCTTCCCATTTGAGCTTGACCCTTCCATCCAGATAGCAAAGGCATGCACTCAGGAGCTGAGACTCTGCATCTTCTACTCAGAGATCTCAGGAGAGGCTGCAGGGATAGGGTCTTCATTCAAAATAAAAGGCCAAATATTAGGTAAAAAGAGGCTCTTGAGTTACATACAGCCTATGCTAGATTCTGACAAATAATAAGCTAAAGTTAAGTCCTGTCTCAGGATGCCAAAAGAGAAAACAGCTTCGGAACAGCCTATAAATATGGTAAGGAGGGCCCATAAGGGAAACATTCTTTTTTTTTTTTTTTTTTTTTATCGGTACCAGGGATCAAACTCACGACCGCCTGCTTGCAAGGCAGGTGCTTATGCTGCTGAGCTAAATCCCCAGCCCCAGGGGAAACACTCTTGACTGGTAACGTTACATTTAAATTCTTTGATTTAAGATAAAATTTTTTATTGGGTAGCTGTGATTAAAACCTTTTTTGTAAACAGCTTTGGGATAACTCTAAACTACAATTACGGGGTTAAACTGCTCTTTTCTTGCTTTTATGTATACTAAGAAAATTTGTTATGCAAGCCCAAACCAAGTTTTAAAGGGCTGATAGACCTTTAAAGGTAAGGTCTTTGCTTTTTTTTTTTTTTTTTTTTTCTGCTGATACTATAGAGCTATGTCACTTAGTCTAAATTATCAATTATGTTTCCTGCACTATGGGATCAGATAAGACCAATAACTGGAACAGAGTAGGGACAACGTGGAATAATAAGAGAGGATTAATCCACGATGCCTTGAGGACAAGAGAGGGTTTGCTGCTGACGGCTGGACTAGACCCTTTCATCACTTGGAAAGTGCATAGGGTTGCCGAATGGTAGCAAGTAAGCTGATCTCTTTTGTTTGGATGTAAGTGACATTTTCAGTTTTAGGGAAACACCAGTGCCTTTATTCAAGTCCTGTCTCTATTAAGAGGGTTGATGGTCTTATCAAACCACTTTGTGCCAAGCCTCTGTCTTACACCTTTAAAACAACAATTAGTACAAACTGCTTTCTAGTACTCCCACACCTGTTACTTTCTTAATTGGGTCAACTTATGGTCTTTTAATGATTGCTCTCTGGTACAACAAATGTAAACCTAAGCAAGGACTGCTGACATTGAGGCTGTCCTTATCTCAAGAGCGGGCTCCTATTTCTTACTTTCTTAATTAAGTCAATTTATGGCTTTGGGAAATTTCGGCTGTGTTTTGGAAGTTATAGAAGTCTTTAAATGCAGTTTTTAGTTGTGATGTCCTTGTCTCCTTTCTTTTATTTCTTCTACCTCAATGGGACTGACCACGCCACTCATCTTCTACCAAAGCTTATCACGGAACAGCCTTGATAAAAATCTCACAAAGCTTAATCAAGAGTCAAGACCAGGAAGACTCCGCACATCATCCAAACACCAGTCCCAACATTCTGCTACTCACAAAATCAGATCCCAGCGAATCCCTCACCAGTGAGGAGAAATGCAAACCCAGACGACGCCCCAAAAAAGCAGAAAGTAGTTTCAGGAGAGGAACAGCGCTGAACCCCCTACCTCCCCATTTTCATATTACTTCCCTTTCTTTCCTGGCACTATAAAAGGCTAGAATGTTGTCTTAGCGCTCCCCCTAGTGGCCCAACTCTTAATCTCGGTCACAATTCTGACTCAAGACACCAAACTCAGATCCCCCAACTTCACTTCCGGCCGACCCCCGCCTGTGGGGGGGCAGGGCAGAGCTCCGCCTGGGCGCCAGGTCTCTCTGGACCTCAGACCGGGCTGGCGCGGGCTCTCCGACGGACCCTGCCCACAGGACCCTCGGCGGGGAACACTCACCATTCCTGGGTCCCAGGGCTCTGGGTCATCCCCACCGACCCCGCCGCCAGCACCACGGAGGCGGGACTCGGACCCAGAACCTCAGGACAAATTTACATGGCGGCGCAAGCAAAACGTCGCGAGATTTGCTAGGGCGCGCATCTCTATTCAACAGCGCTCCTGATTGGACAGGTGGCACAAAGCCGCTAATTGGCCAGTGATCCAGAACATTATTTGTGAGTGACAGGAAAAACAGAAACCATATTAGCATCTCAATAGATTCCTAAGAAGCATTTGACAAGTCCAATGCCCGTTCATGATAAAAAGCCTACAAAAAATTGTAATACATAGTCTTTATCTCAAGCAGATAAAAGCCATATAACACAAACCAACAGCCAACATCATGGTAAATGGACAAAAATTGAAAACTTTAAAAATCAGGGGCAAGACAAGGATGTTCTCTGTCACCACTCTCACTCAATATAGTTCGGAAAACATTAGCCAGAGCAATCAGACGTGAAAGATGAAATGGACAAAGATAGGAAATGAAGAAGTTAAATTATCATTAATTGCAAATGACATTATACTCTATATGCAAGAGACCAAAAACTCCACCAAAAGACTTCTAGATTCCATAATCAAATTCAGTAGTATAGTTGGATACGAAGTCAACACTCAAAAAATCAATAGCCTTCTCATATACAAGCAATAAACTGAGAGAGAAATTAGGGAAACAATGCCTATCACAATAGCATTCCCCAAAATGAAACATTTAGGAATCAATCTGATGAAGGAAGTAGGAGTATAAGACCTCTATCTACACTGAAGATGACAGTACTCAAAAAGAATATTGAAGAGAATATCAGAAAATGGAAAGACGGGCTGGGGATTTAGCTCAGCAGCATAAGCGTCTGCCTTGCAAGCAGGCAGTCATGAGTTCGATCCCTGGTACCGATAAAAATGAAAAAGACAAAAAGAAAGAAAGAAAAGAAAAGAAAATGGAAAGATATTCCTTGCTCTTTGGTAGGAAAAACCCATGGCCAGTGAAAATGGCCATCCTTCCAAAATTGTTATATAATTTTAATGCTATTTTGATCAACATTCCAACAGCATATTTCACAGATTTTTTAAAAATCCCAAAATTCAATTAGAACCAGAATAGACGAGCAAAAGCAATTCTTGGCAGCAAAAGCAAGGGAGGGCTCATCATAACCCTTGACTTGAAATTATCCTATAAAAGCCACTGCAATAAAAACAGTTCTGGGGACAATGAAGCAGAAACAACTCCAGCCATACTTAGCTACCCTATCTTTGACAAAGGTGCTAAAAGAAAGACAGCCTTTTTAATAAATGGTGCTGGAAAAACTGGCTTTACACATGTACCACTCGCTAAATTAAACTTGAAATAAATCAAAGATCTGAATATTAGAATTGAAGCATTAAAACTGCTGAAAGGCAGAATAGACAGAACTCTTAGGGACATAGGTGTAGGCAAGACTTTATGAACAAAATCCTGATTGCACAGGAACTATCACAAAGAATCAACAGCTAGAGTCTCACCCTACTGAAAAGCTTTTACACAGCAAGAAAAACCAACAATATAGTGGAGAGATAATTCAAAATGTGGGGAAAATTTTTATTATCTGTTCCTCAAAGGATTACTATCGAGAACGTATAAAGAACTCAAACAATCAGATCCCTCAAAGTGATTGATTGATTGGATTGATTTTGGTACTGGGGATAGAAATCTGACCTCATGCTTGCCACTGACCTTAATCCCCAGCCCAGACCCCTCAAATTTAAAGGTTAAATTCAAAAATGGACATCTGACATGAATACACAATTTTCAGAAGAAGAAGTACGAACATTAAATATATGAAAAATATTCAACATCTCTGGTTATTTGTGAGATGCAAATTTAAAAAAACACTGAGACTCCATCTCATCCCAGAAAGAATGGCTATCATCAAGAAATCAACAAGTAACAGATGCTGGGATGATGTGGGAGAAAGGAACCCTTCTCTCCTTTTGGTAGGAGTGTTTACTGGTGCAACTACTATGGAAATTAGTATGCAGACTCATCAAAGAACAAGAACTAGAGTTTCCACTTAACCCAACACTTTCCTTTCTTGATATCTTCCTGAAAGTATTAAAAGCATCATGACATGGTGATATATGCATTGCCATGTTTATCGCAGCATGTTATAGTTTGTAACAGCCAAATCTTGAAACAGCCCAAATGCCCATCAATTGGTAAATGGACAAAGATGGGATTTCTTTATACAATGCAGTGCTACTCTGCCATAAAGAAGGATAAACTTGAGACATTCCTAAATAAATGGATACACCTTGAGACCATACTCTTAAGCAAACTATTGGACACAGATTGGTAAATACTGCATTGCTTCTCTGGTGTGAGAAATCAAATGTGTAAACAAAGACCAAAATGTATAATATATATTGTGAAATAGGAAGAAAATGTTCAAGTGCTGAGAGAATCAAGAGGGCAGAGGGGAAGGAAAGTTTAAAAAGTGAGAAAAGGAAAACACGGGAACAAACCTTTGGAAATTTAAAGGGGAGAATGGGTTGAAGGAATGATAGGAGAACGGGAAAAAAGAATGAAGTTATATCCTTTACAAGTACAGATTCTCTATGGTGAATGTGAGCCTTATGTATATCTAAAATAACACAATAAAATATGGTAGGAATAAAAGAATTAGCAGTATGCACTGTACAAATTCCTGATCATAGTAAATGAGCTGCAGTAAAATTAGCTACATCTTCCATAGTGTGAAACTGAATACTGGGAACTATGGATTTAGCTCAGCGGCATAAGCACCTGCTTTACAAGCAGGCAGTCGTGAGTTTGATCCCCAGTACCAATTTAAAAAAAACTGAATACTGTATCCTACAATGTAGTATGTTTTGATTTACATGAAACATTTCACATTTCATTATAAAGTACACGTGATTCTTGATGATATTATTCACCTTATGGCCAATTTATATGTCTAAGCAAAATTACATTGGGTTAGGATAAGACATACTGTTCACTTCCTCAGGAGTCTTTAAAGCATTTGTTTTCACATTTCAGAATAGAACCCTGGGGAAAATTCAGTTTCTGTGTTCATGGGGAAAACAATCTAGAATACTGTACAAATCCTCAGTTTTAGGAAGAAAGGGAAAATTTCCTGAAGGATTTCAAAGATGGCCTCACACTGATGATTTTCACAATTCTTGGTTTGAAGTTGTGTATCACTCACTTCAACAATTAGATAGTGGTCTTCATTGATAACGACAAAAGGGGTATTACTTACAATTATTACTAAAGTTGGTAAAAGAAGATCCAATCTCAGTCACAAAATTTAGTTTTTCCTTGTACCAAACTGAATGAAACTCATCATGAATTATTATTTGAATGTTAGCTAAAAAAGAAAAATGATTGCTAAAGACCAAAAGGTGTTTGTAGCATCAGGGAATAGAATGAAATATCCTGCTTCATTACAAAGAATAGAGATAATTTTCTTCAAACATCAATCTTGTCAAAATAATTTTGAGGATGTTCTTACAAACCATACCACTATTTGAAGTTTGGGGAGGGACAAATTGGTATAATTCACTTTATCCTATTTTGAGAATAGCTATGCTCCTGTGGGTCTCTGGCAATGGGAGACTCACAGCAGTATTTTTTTGGTATGATAACTGATGGAAAAAATTATCACCAAAACAAATCATGGTGATAAGAGCATAAAAAGTAAGAGTAAATTTTATGTGGTTAAAAATTCCTCTAAATTTATATAGACATGATAACAATAGCTTTTGACTTCAAAGAAAAATCAAGTTATGTAGTGGCTTTAATCTATAATTACATTGGGGATAAGTACAGATACCTCCATAGTATATAGAAAATATAGCATCTGGTAACCCACAAGTTGCTTGAAAAAGAGTTGAACTCTGTCTAAAGCATATTTACAGAGATCATTTAAAATGCACACTAGAATTATAAAATATAACATCCAATTGAAAAATTCTTCTGTTAGAATGAAAAATGGAGTACATGTAACAAGAATTTAAACACAAGCCAATGGAAAAATGACAAAGAAAATTCAATTTTTAGTGCCATTTTTATCTACAATTACTAAAACACATGCACACAAATGTTCTAAAATAGTACTACGTCTACTGGTATATTAAAAATACATTTTAATTCACATTGACCTAACATGGTACAAAATAACATCACCTAATTTGATTAAAACACAATATTAAGCTTCAGCATTATTGCTTATACAATGGAATTATGGTATCACATTTTTTTGAGACAGTGGCTCAATGTTGTCTGCCTAGTCTTGAAATCACTGTGGAACCCAGGCTGGCCTTGAACTCACTGCAATTCTCTTGCCTCAAACTCCCAAGTACTGGAATTACAGGCATGCACCATCATGCCTGTAATTGACTTACAACATGACTTACAACATTTATTCTTAAAAATGAACTTGCAAATATGTAATTTGGATATCTATTTTAAGAGTTAGTTGTGTATGACCACATTATATTTATACTTTAGCATATATGTTCTGGTTTTGTATTTTTGGTGCATTCTACACGGAAATAGTTGACGTCACATTTTTTTATTTCTTGCATAAATTGGCATTATACGGAAATGTTCAAAGATTTTGAAAATATGAGTTATAGCTCAGAACTTTGTACATTCACAGGAGTTTGATCCAATCTGTTTTCCTAAATGTGAGACAACTGAAAATTTGTGTACAAACTTTATGTTGGGTTCTTACTATATTGTATTCATTTTGAATATAAATAAAACCAAAATGCCTAGAGATGTTCCCCCAAAACATACTGCAATGCAAGTTTCTCCACAATGCCATGAAATGTTTGCATGAAAGATCCTCTTTAAAAATGCAGACTTCTTATGTTCTGTATTTGTATTTATTGTGAGTGTGAGTTTGTTCATGTTTTCTGTGGTTGTGGGATCATAAAATGTTGTCTCACACTATCTACATAGGGGTATTTTCTAGTTTGAGTTCCTCCAGCTCTTTTAAACTAAGTGGAAGAACTTTATACATTGCATAAACACATGGGTTTTTATGTGAATTATTTTATGTATTTGA